ACACTTAATATGATGTTCCAGATCTTACCATTGTATAAAGAGCTTCATGCTTATGTGAGAGCAAAACTTCAAGGCATCTATCCTGGTCACATCGCTTCTGACGGTTGCCTTCCAGCACATCTGCTTGGTAATATATGGAATATTACTAAGTGATTCAAAACAGCTAATATATGCTATTAGGATATAGTGCTAGTGTCTGATGAAATGTGGATATATGGGTGACACTTTCTGACATTTCGCATTAAGGTGATATGTGGGGGCGGTTTTGGACCAACCTGTATCCTCTCATGATCCCGTATCCAGAAAAGCCTGATATTGACGTGAGCTCTGCAATGGTGGCCCAGGTAAGACATGTGACTATTGTTTATTTCTATACCCCACCCTATTGCTTTGATTTGAGCGTCTCTTTATCTCCAAGGTTTTATCTTTTATCTTTATACATGTTTTACAGTACAAAGTCTGTTCACATTTTATCTGATCAAAGATTAAATGTAATCTATTATTCATTTTGTTCCTTAGCTGGAGCAATAAAAGCATCCCTGAAGATTATGGAGTTGCACATTGTCAAAATGTGGTTTAATTTATTTTCCTAATTATTTGACACCACTGTCCATTTCAGGGCTGGGATGAAATGCGTCTGTTTAAAGAGGCAGAACAATTTTTTATGTCCGTAAACATGTCTGCAATGTTTGACAACTTCTGGACAAACTCAATGTTCACTAAACCCGAAGGAAGAGATGTGGTGTGCCATCCTACCGCATGGGACATGGGAAACAGAGAGGACTTCAGGTGGGGCTGATAATACTGCTAAGCTTAGTAATGATTAACTGGTAGATAAGAATTCAATTCAGTTAAAATATTGAAAATGTTATTTCTTTTTGCTGTTTACATTTATTTGATTATTAAAATTTAAAACAACTTATATATTTTTGAATTTATATTTATTTCTGTGATGGAAAACCTAAATATTAAGCATTATCATCAATAGAACATTTCAAAAGTATAGCATTTTTTTTTTTTTTACAGAATCAAAATGTGCACTAAAGTGAACATGGATGATTTCTTAACTGTTCACCATGAGATGGGACATAACCAATACCAAATGGCCTACCGTAACCTCTCATACCTGCTGAGAGATGGCGCTAACGAAGGCTTCCATGAGGCTGTGGGAGAGATCATGTCTCTTTCGGCTGCCACTCCTTCTCACCTGCAGTCATTGGGCCTTCTGCCGTCCGATTTCAAGGAGGACTATGGTAAAAGCCCATTCCATGCCGAGTCAGGAGTCTGACATCATCTACAACAAACAACAAACACAAACTGGTTTTAGCTAATCATTCTTTACCAAAACGTTGTTGTTTTTTCCGTATGCACAGAGACCGAGATTAACTTCCTGTTGAAGCAGGCCCTCACCATCGTGGCCACTCTGCCCTTCACCTACATGCTGGAAGAATGGAGATGGCAAGCCTTTAAAGAGACAATTCCCAAAGACAAGTGGATGCTCCACTGGTGGCAAATGAAGTGAGTGACAGAAGAACCAAATCAAAATCCAAACATTGTGAAGTTTTCTTCAGTGTGGCTCATCACAACGTTTGTTCCCGCAGGAGAGAATTAGTTGGAGTGGCTGAAGCTATACCAAGAAATGAGTTGTATTGTGACCCACCTGCACTTTTCCATGTGTCTGGGGATTATTCTTTTATCAGGTAACGTGATATGCATTAATAAAGTTTTGCATTTGACAAAGTGATGATTGTCTTTGCCTTGTAAGTTGCGTTTTTTATTTGAACAGTCCTGATATCAAATTTAAAATCAAAACAGTTCGTATTTCACATTAGCTGTGAATTTGAAGTCTTTGTTAAAGGCAATGCAATAAAAGTACAGTTAACTGTGAAATAATAGCAAGAAACGTCTTTATATTGAGACCTTCGCAGACTGCAAATACAACGCGAACCATATACTGTAGTCCGATTTATGAACAAATTAGGAGCCAGTTCTTTGTATAGTATAGCCAGAATTATTATAAGTCAATACAATATACCAGTAGGCTAAATATGTGGCTAATAATCATATGAATAGCTATGTCTTGTTTCTCTAATAGGTATTTCACTAGAACCATTTATCAGTTCCAGTTTCAAGAGGCATTATGTGAGGCAGCTGGCCACACCGGTCCCCTTCACAAGTGTGACATTACCAACTCAACCAACGCTGGTAACAAACTCAGGTATGCAGAATGCTTTGTGTCTTTTGATACACTATCTACTTATAACTACTCACACTGCAATAGACCTGTATTCTTCGATATTAGGATACTAATAATATTTTGGTCCGCAGGCATATGCTTGAGTTAGGCCGATCCGTGTCTTGGACTCGGGCTCTGGAAGATATTGCAGGAACCACGAAGATAGACTCCCGGCCACTGCTACAGTACTTCAGCACTCTCATGGAATGGCTAAAGCAGGAGAACCAGAATAACAATAGAGTGCCCGGCTGGAATGTCAATATTAACCCAAGTTAGTATTTCATTTTAACAGAAAGTAAACCTGTTAAATGTGAGAAACTGATGTAAGAAACAAAAAGCAAAGATGGTTACATTATTGTAGATTATTTTATTAATAAATCTATGGTTAAATTATATTACCTTCAACCTTCAGTTCAAATAAAGTTCCAGTATTGACATGCCAACATACTGTCTGTTGAAAAAATGACAAGATTTTTATTAGGCGTACTGTCTCACTCACAGCTTCTTATATGAAAAATGCAGATTCCGAAAACGCCTTCAAAGTCAGAATTAGCCTAAAATCTGCCTTGGGGGATGATGCAGTAAGTCTCTTTCAGTTTTAACACTCATGATGAATTCTAGATACAAATAGAATGTTCAATTGCTAATTATTGTTCATTCTTATCCCCAGTACACCTGGAATTCAAATGAACTGTATCTCTTCAAGTCCACTATGGGCTTTGCCATGCGCCAGTACTACTTGCAAGAAAAGGGAATGGATGTGAATTTCATGTAAGTATTCTTATCCTTCACTAAAGGCACATGTCAGAGGAATAAGACCATTTTCATCATAAAATGAACATATTTGTTGCACACAGGGCAGAGAACATCCACACGTACAATGAGACCGCCAGAATCTCCTTTTATTTTGTTGTGATGGATCCAACCAAACCAGACACAGTTATTCCTAAGGCAGAAGTAGAAGCGGCTATCTGGTATTTCTTGAAACCATACTATATAAATAACATTAAATATTGTGTTTTAAATAATACATCATTATTATATATTATTTGTAAGTATATCTATTTATCTTTATTTGTATATTATGAATTTATTAAACTATTTAATTGATATAAATCATTTAAAAACTGAATATTATTGTGATTATTCCATGTTTTTTTCTGAATCTCAACTCAATGACTAAATATTTTTGTAATATTTTGGAAATAACTGAATGAATATTGGGTGTCATAACATTATGAGGAACTAAAGCAATTTTCCCTTTGACTAAAGAATTTCCCTTTGATAACTCTTCACAGGCTGTCAAGAGAACGTATCAATGGTGCATTTCTACTGCATGATGAAACACTGGAATTTGTTGGGCTGCAGTCAACATTAGCTCCACCCAAAGAGGAAAAAATTACAGTTTGGCTGGTGGTGTTTGGAGTGGTAATGGGAGTAACTGTGTGTGGAGGGATTTATCTCATTACCACAGGGGTTTTAATCAGGAAGAAGTAAGTATTAGAGGGGAAGCCCCTTCAAAAATGAGTCAATCATTGAACATGGCTTTGAAACATTTCAGTGACAGTGAATTATGCAATTCATGTCCTTATAACAGATTGGTATGTTTGTTGGAATTGCATCATCATAACAGCTACTAGGGCTGCGCGATTTGGGGAAAATGTCATATTGCCATTATTGGTCAATAATGCGATTGCGATATGCGATATATAATTAACAAATGGTTTCATGAGTCAGGAAAATGCACACACAGATTAGTGATTACGCTGAGATTTCTCAACTCAAACTTGCAACAACAACTAATTGATTGATAACACCTACAGTATAATGATCAATAAGAATCAACGTCTGGATAAAAATAATTGCATAGGCTTGACATCGCGATTGCCATATGATTAATCGTGCTACATACTACATGCATTGTAGACAATATTATATATATATATATATATATATATATATATATATACACAAATAGAACATAATCCAACATCCTTTTCTGGAACAATACACGTAACACAAGTAACACTTTATTTTTAGGATCCATGTTATGGATTATACACATTAATATTTATTTTCTATAGGAAATAGTAAAATATGGGCTTCAAAAATATGATTGAAATCCACACTTTGACCAAAGTTTGTTTCAGAATTTCTTACATTGTTGCAAAAACTGAACTTGATTCAGACGTTAGCTAACATCTCAGAACTTTGGCTAATATAAAATTTATGAACAAACATTCTTCCTGTAACGCTGACAGAATGTTTGTTTATAGTTATCTGGTTAGCACAAAAATGTGATTTATACATTTCTTTCTGAAAAATGTGAGTTGGACATTTGTTTCATGTTTTTTAAAACCTACTACTTGTTTCAGAATGTTCAGAGAACATTCAAAAGCAACATTCCCATAATGTTTGCTAAATTTTATAATGAAATGTTCCTAACATTCACAAAAAAAACCTAGAAAAAACGTTTACATTTTTGTTAGCTGAGTGACTGAATTATTATTATTTTTGTAAAATTTTCAGGAAAGCTAAGAAGGCCGAGGAGACTGTGAACCCATATGAGAATTCAGATGAAGGAGAAATAAACAAAGCCTTCGAGCAAGACATTGAACAAACAGGATTGTAAAGAAAAATGGGTTTTCAGAAACATCTCTACTCTAACATCAGAACTGAGTGATGAAAAAAGCTTCAACATCATTGAATGCGTTTGGAGACTTTATTTTCGAAAACAATGAACGGATCACTTTTCCCCCACAAATGTTTATTGAAATGTCTGATGTGAAAGTGTAAAAAAGTAAAGTAAAAAGTAAAAATAATACATTAGCACATAAATGACAAATGATGAGTTTACTGTAACCAACAGGGTGACTGAAATTGCTAATTGCTTATACAGACAGATGTAAATAGAGATTAATATTATAAATATATGGATAAAGTACTTATAATGTAGCTGTTTTTTTATGTACTATAAAAACATACCCAGTTATGTGGTACTACAATGTCATGAAAAGCGGTTCAGTATAAAAGTGCAAAAATAAAATCTTTATTTTAAAAATAAAAGGTTTTTGTGGCATCACTCTCAATTAAGTCAAAGCAGTTGTTGGACGTAAGTGCGCCTCTTTTCATTTTCACAACGCCACTGTCTACAGTGTGAATGAACCATCCTCTGTGGAGTGCTGACTCAAAATGCCGGTGACCCGACGGGGTTATAGACATGTAGAAAACAAAGGCCTTTTTTTCTGGATCATCTCCAGGGATGATTAGCTTGCTTTTGTCATACCACTGAAATAAACATAAGTTTGTTTAACTTCGGCTTATGGGAAAAAAATGATTGACTGAAAGAAATGACACAATATGCAGCCAAAGCTCAAATGCAAAGTCAAGAAATAGAGAACATTATTGAAAACTTACTGTTATTTTCAAAATCTTTTCTTCACCTTCAATGGTGCAGCAGAAGAAGTTCTCTGTGCCAGTGAAGTTCAGCACAACAGGAACATGCCATTCTGTGTCTTTGGTGGGCATGTATCGGAAGATGGTGATTTTCGCTGAATAAATTCAAAATATGTGAAAAAATGGAAGGAAAAGTGGCATAGATGTTTTTTTAAACATACATTTTAATAATTTGATACAAACCTGACATAGTGTCCTCCAAACAAATCTGATTATACTGACCAGATGCGACATACTTTTGGACTGATTTTGACTTCAGGAACAAATTTTTTTTTTCTTTATTCAGTTTTCCAATTTGTGCAGAAACTGTGGAAAAGGCAGCAGAATTCGAGAACATTTTTAAAAATGTGGTTCTATTTTCTTATGAACAATAAAAATACAAACAGCCACTTCAACATGAGTTAATTTAAACGAATAAAGCTGAGGAATAAAAGATTATTGAATGTTTCTTACTGACGCCAAGATCCGCTTGCTCAGGGGTGACCACAACTTCGTTAAATTGGTGATCACAGCTATAGAAAGGTTCGTCAGTGTCGTGGTCATCAACCAGATTGAAGCTCATGGTTGCCAGGGAAACAAGTAGCTGATCGTCATCATCGAAACAGTCGTCCTCAATGTCCACCTCATCTATTGACTTTGTTTGTGGATGTGACAGTTCCCGGTGCCCACCCGTCTCCAAATCTTCCTCACTTAACATTGTCAGACTGAATCTCAGTTTCACCTTCCTTTTCATGCCACACGTGTCCTCAGACTCTCGCTCTTCTGTTTTTCCAGGGCTCGGATGGTGTACAATCTACGAGAGGAAATGATTTGCTTCAGCACGGTTTTAAAAAAATATTTGTTTCAAATGCCGCCCACACTTGATTACATGATTATTCTGTCTAGGCTAAAAGGTCAAAGGAAAAAAATCAGTTTCATTTCTCTCTTGTCATAAACATGGACGTGGTCGAGTAGAAAATGATCCTTTAAATAGAAGATCAGAAAAGGGCTAGTTCCCTTTAGAAAGGGCTTTGGGGGAAGGCCTCAGGCGTGACAGGTGTTTAAAATCACTATCAAATCACAGCAATTTCATTGATCGGCGACGCCTCATGAATCCTTAACGTGAATGATTAACGTGTGACCTGCAAATATATAAGGGCGCCTTGCAAACATGACATGTTTAAAAACGCTACAAGAATGGTAAGAGAAATAAAACATGCAGCGAAGGCGGATTGCTTTCAGAAGTGTGCCGACCCGTGCCCAAGGTTTTTGACTCCAGGTGATACACACAAACTGTGCGTTTTCTGTCTGGGTGAAGAGCAGGCACGGGAGGTTCTTGAGGGAGCCCTCTGTGCAAACTGTGAGCGCTTTTCTCTGAAAACGCTCAGCTCTCATCTGGCCCTCTTCTCGAGCGAAGAGGGTTCAGCTTCTGGACCTCGTGGTTCAGGTCCGGCTCGTGCCAAGGCAGAGCGGCGACTTGCATCATGGGGCTCCAAGATGGAGTTCGCCAATCACCTTGAGAGGGCTGTAAACCTCTCAGATGATCCGGCGACTAACGAGGGTGATCTGCAGGTCGATGATGAAGATTTCCCGTAGATCCCTGGAGAGGTAAATCCAGAACCCCCTCAGCCATCCAGAGCTGGTGGATGTTATGGGGAGTGCCGCCAGCAGGCTGCAGCTGGCATGGCAACGCGCTGGATGAGAGAACGTTCGCGGCAGGCCTGCCGATTGGTTTCTCCCCGGTCACAGACCACCATCTCAGGTGAGCCTTGCATTTCTTCCTGACCTTCACACTGAGGTCAATTAGGCATGGAAGAACCCATACATTGCTCGTATCCACCGACATCAGCGGGCTAGTTCAGCTGATGTTGAGGGGATCAAAGAGCATAGGTACGTGTCGATACCGCTACCGACATACTGGCAAATTTACCTGGACAGTTAACCTTTGAGAGACAACAAGGAAACAAATCTTAATGCTCTGAAAGCTCATTAAACAAATACTTGCATCTCGTTCCCTTGAGTTGCTGAGTAAGGAAAGTGCGTGTGGTGTGTCGTTCCATCGGAGCGTCACGTGGTCTCTTAGTTCGGAGCGTGCTTCATCCCAGGTTTAAATGTCCATTTAAAGGTAAAGTTAGCCAGCTAATTCAGGCTGAATTCATTTCACTCGCAAGTAGAAATGAACAAAGTAGAATACAAAAAAGAAAAACAAAACTCAACAAAAGAAAACGAAAAGACTAAGACCGAAAACGAAAAGGAAAGGACAAACTGGAGACGTCCAAAACACACAGGAAGTGAGTCAAAGAAGAGAGCCAGCAGATGCTCGGACTGCCATCTTTAAGGAAAACGGTCCACACCTCCTCTGGGTGAGCTGACGAATCAGCTTGGAGTTCTGTGAGCGGGAATAAGTTCTTTTGTCTTGTTCACTAGGTGGTTCACTGCCAGCTTCGCAGTCCCTCGGGTTGGAGGCCAAACCTAAAGACAAGTGTCCAGAGGCTCTGTCTTTGGACAGACAGGAAGTGGCCAGATTAAGTGTCTATGTAACTGACGCCAGGTTAGGCCGCCCTGGTGGCATTTCGGGGTGAGTGCGTTCCCCTGAACAGTGATTCCAGGTTTCCTATAGCTTACGCTATGCCATAGCTTGGGCTATGACTGTAGGAATGCTGTCACTGACAGCGCATTGTGACTTGAGGGTGAGTGGTTCAAGCATTTCATTTGAATTTGCAGGTTCAAATTTGCTGGTGCACATTTGAGTCACTGCCAATGGGCATGCACTCCCCTTAGCATGGCGGAGTGGGTATATCGATCCCCAGTGTGAGTTCCCTTTCGAAAGGGAACATCTCAGTATGTTCCCTGTATAAAAATATATTGTCAAACACACATCCTCCAAGATAACGGATGACATTATGGGCTAACAACTGTTATCCTATATAACAAAATTGTTATCCGGTACGACAAAACTCAGTTTAAATCTTAATCAGGCAATATTTTTTGGCTACCTATAGAAATCCTAAACCTTTATATTCAACTTCCAAATATGTAAATTCATTCTAAATAAACATATTGACATAAAATCTACATTAGAAGATAGATCAATAGATAGATAGATAGATGGATAGAAAGTTTCAGTTCACAAATGAGCAACATTCACCATGGATTTAGGCTAATGTAGTAACTCTAACCATAATATGGTATTGTGGCAGAAATAGAAACGCTTACGAGTACTACATATCTTTTTACAGCACTTTAATATGTATAAATGTTATTTTTATGTGATGACCAACACATTTTTTTTTGTTCATCGATCAAAGATTATCTTACAACAAAAAATTTTAACATGTAGGAAAACTCTTATTTAAACATTTATTTAAAAAAAAAATTAAATTACAATTGTAAAAAGTAGGATGCTTATTGGCTTATTTTCACACCCTACTGTAATATAATGTCATATATATATTCATATATATAATATATATATTTCCTAATATAATTTTTCACTCGTTTTCCTTTTAATTAATTAATACATATGAATGATAATAATTAATAATAGTTAATTTAAATTAAGCTTAGTGGTTTATTGTCAGCCCCAGTGCTAACACTTAGTCTGGATAGATAGATAGATAGATAGATAGATAGATAGATAGATAGATAGATAGATAGATAGATAGATAGATAGATAGATAGATAGATAGATAGATAGATAGATAGATGCATACCTCTGCTGCCATGTTGATCAACGTGCAAATAAAAAAGGATGTGAGCCCTACTCTCAAAACACTGCCTTTTCTATGTCAGTAACCCTGATGTGGTAGGAAAAGGAAGTCGTTATTATTAGAAATTATACCAATGCGTGAGGTTTGGTGCATGCTCTTTGCTCTTATAGCTCTTCACATCATTACCAAAATAAATTCAGCAATGATTTTAAAATGACTTGTTAAAAAAAATCAAAGTGTAACGACAGGTCTTGAGCTGTGGTTAGAAGCAGAGTTTCTTGTTTTCATGCATGTGGACTCAATGAATTCTTACCTTGAACCAATTAAGGAAGTTGGGATTTAGAACAATCTACATATTTTATTTAGAATACATACAAATGTCATTTACGTCTTTTAATTTGATTTAAAGCATCATTCTTGAAGAGTGTAAACGTGCTCTAGTTAGGGTAGATTGGGTAGGCCACAGTTGGTTGCCTACACTTTTGCTTTTTCCGTTACCACACCAAAACTAGGGACTGAAAAGAAGTGATTTTTTTCATATTACATTTCCTTTACTTCTCTACTAAAATATCAAGTTATTAAAGGGATAGTTCACTTCAAAATGAAAATTCTGTCATCATTTACTCACATTCAACTTGTTTCAAGCCTGTATGAATTTCTTTCTTTATGATTTATATCCAGGTATACCAGATGTGGGCCGGATCTGGGCCAATACTATGTTGCCGAACTATACTATTGTCATCGAACTAGAGAAGCGCATGCTACTTTAAATTTCCCAAGATCGAAGAGGGCGCTAATACGAGTGTGTGAAGCATATCACAGATCAGGGTTTTCACGAAAGCATCGTTTTCCAACTATGGTCGCAAGATCCGACGTTATCAGTATAGTTCAACGAGTCTGTGTTTCCTGAAACCATGAAACCCGATGGTGATGAAACTATGCTGATAACGACGGATCTTGCGACAGCTTAAGCTGTGGTTAGTAGCATAGTTTGTAGTTTGCATGACATGTGGACTTAATAAATCTGTATCGTGAGCAAAATAAGGAAGCTGAAATTTAGTACAACCTGTGTCTTGTATTTTGAATACATACAAGTGTGTGTTTTATATCTTTGAGTTTATCAAGATATTTAAAGGGGTCATATAATGGTACATGGACTTTTCAGGTTGATTGTACTGAAATGCGTGTTGGAAGTGGCTGTACAAAACCATCATATAATGATAAAAATCTATCCAGTATTTTTTTTTTAATCTCCTTATGTTTTCCCCTCTCTCAAATCGAGCCGTTCGAACCCACGATCAACGTCAACGCTCTCATGTTTGCTCGAATCATTTCTCTCCAGACTGCTTTATAAATGAGGGTCAGTATAAAGCTGGTTTTGCAAAGAAGCTGCTCCTGAAAAAATTATCGGTATCAACTATTTGTGTTCCTGCTGCACCTCCAGAAGAAGTGAGTGTAAAATTTTATGAACCTTTATATTGATCTTTGCAAATCGTGAAAAAAAGTTTGTTATGTCCATTACAGTAGCTGTAACATCAATCTGTCAATCAACTATACATCAGTAAACACATAGCAAAGTGACAATATGTTAACCAAGCATTCAGAAATATCCTGTTCGAGCCTTAACAGTCAAACTTCTTCAAACCGTCAAACTGTCAAACCCTCATCTTGTTCCAGCCCGGTATTCTCCCAAGGCGTCATAGGTGACGCTTTTGAAATTGCGTCTACATCCGATGCACATGGCACCCTTTAACATCAATATTACCCCTTTTCCACCAAGGCAGAGCTGGTGCTGGTTCGGAGCCAGAGCCTAGCTTCAAATCGGTTCTTTGTTTTTCGACCACAAAAGCACCAGCTTCGAACCAGTGAAAGTAGCACCAAATCATTGCTGGTCTAGAAGTAAGAACCGCTTACGTCGGTGGCTGGGGGCGGGGTTACCGTGACCAACAAGACGAATAGAAACTTGTGACCGCCATTTTTTAAATAGCAGCTAATCATGCTAATAGCAGCTCCATTGTAATCTCCGTTAATGCAAGTTATGGCGAGCTGCACGGACGTGCTGGATTCGCCGTGTTTGGATACCAATGTAGGTTTGCAAAGTCATGAGCATAAATAGTAACGCAACAACCGCCATTGTTGATGGAAGGTTGTTCGAGGCTTGTGTGTTACTGTTTTTGTGTTAGAGCATATAGCTGTTCAATTAAAGTTTTGTACTGTAGCTGATATTACGGTTAATTATTGTTAGCTGTTAATTTTAAAAACAGTAACACACCGTATTTTTACGATATGATGCTGGCCACCACAGCTGCCAGTAGTTTACCGTTTTTTTACCGGATTATTTTTTACAGTGAGTTTCATTAAAATAAGTTATTAATATAACTGAGAAAAATGAGAAATAGATCAGATGCCATACCTGTATTATCAAAACATCTGCGTTGATTCAATCTCAAACAGTTTTACAGACGTGGTTGAACAGAGCAGTTAATGGAGGTGTAAAAGGTCAAAGTTTTTGTGTTTAAGTGATAATGAGACTAGGGCTGTGTGTGTGTGTGTGGGGGGGGGGGGTCTACCTGCGACTGAGTTGTTAAAGGGGAAGCACATCAGAAATGAATCGTTGTTTGTTGACTGATAAGCATTATGCAAATCGTGCCTGTGACAACAGTAGGCCAGTATGTGTGATGCACGTTTGCGGGTTTGTGTGGGGATCTACCTGCCACTGGGGCATTCAGCAGCATGAATAAACAATCACTGAAGGGGAAGCACATCAGGAATGAATCATTGGTTGTTGACTTTCAAATGATGAAAATGATGATGTAATTCTTGCCTGTGACACCAGTCTATGTGTAACACGTTTGAGGGTGACCACCCATCCCACTTTGTATTAAAAAAAGTAAATAAAGTAAAATGAAATGTAAAGATAGGGCTGTGAATTGATTAGTATAAGATGACTATTAATCACACAGGTTTTATTTGTGATTAATCACACCTATAAATAACATTGAGGTTACACTTGAGGTGAAATTCTCACTATTAAAGTGGCTTATTTTAGCATGCATATTACTAGAATATTGGCTGTTTATTTAGTAACAGACGATATTTGAAACGCCATTTTAAAAAGAACAACAGATGCTGAAATAATTGATTACATTTTTTAAAGTGTTAAACAGTTAAGGCCCTATCACAGAAATTACGTTATTTCTAGCACTAAATTAAAAAACAAAAAAATTATAAAATAATATATAATATATTGTGCAACTGCCGTTTTATTTTATCAAACATATTTATATTCATTGATTGTATATTAAAATATATGAAATCAAATGTATTACACATCTTGCACATTACTAAATTTAAATAGTGATAAAAAAGTGCAATTAAAAGCATCTCTTCAAAAAGCATCTGTTAATAAGTGACTATAGAAACATCATAACATAAATGATGACGAAAACTACCATTGGATCTGTTATTGGATAAATCATCATTCTGAAACACTGAACTTGATTCAAAACTTTATTTTATTGAGATTTGATAGAAGATACATAATACATAATCACACAAAATGATAAATTATACATTAATGTAGCAACTGTTCAAAGTTGTTAGTAGCTTACAGAAAAAGAATATTTTAAATACATGAATTACAATATATGTTTTGCAAAGATTTCTTTTCAATGATTTAAAAACAGCATACACTGTAAAGAATTATATGATCAATAACTTATGACAACATATGTTTTTACATAGCTTTACATTACTTCTTTATAACTCACACCCATAAACGGTTTGGGAGTTGAGCGCGCCTGTTCTAAGCACTATTTACATTGCTTTAACTCGGCAATTTTTACTTAAACATCCAAGTTGATGGTACTTAAATATGTAAGGCAGAAGCTTTTGTTTCACAGTGTAAAAAGTAACTAAGAAATTAGCATAAAAAATGTATGTTAGTTTAAAAAATATTAGCTTAAAAGTATAAATATAAAAAACACTCATGAACATTTGAATAAAGCATGGTAAAAAAAATATGTCAGCAAATGGGATGCACTGCAGTGGCAGTAAAACAAACCATTCTTTGGAAGAGGCTGCATTCTCTAAGGCAACCTTTGACCAATGCTTGGCCTGCAAATTCTCTTAAAAAACGTATCCAACCAATTTATTTAGTAGCCAAAGCATTTATTTGCATTTTTATTGGGGCACCAGGCTTCATTAGGGTTGGTCACGTCAGCTTGAATCAAATAGTAAGGTCAACTCATTGTGTTTAGGTTAGGTTGTAATTACCATTATATTTGAGAACAGTTCCCAGTAATTAAATGTCATGAATTGACAACCATCAGGTTTCTATCATGAGCCTTTCTAACAGTGAATTATGATAAAAAAGTTGTTGGGTTTACAGTACTGTTCATCTTTATTCATGTCCACTTGGTCTACATTTTTTGTGTAGACAAACCATCCTCTGTAGAGAGCTGACTCAAACCGCCGGAGATTGTCTGCCTGAGAAGACATGTAGAATACAAGGGACCATTTCTCTTGGTCATCAGCGCAGATCGTTTGCAGGTCATGTTTTTTATATTGCTGAAAAACAGTACAAAACCTTTAAGTTCTAATACTCTAACTAAAACCGTAAACTTTAAATATGTCCTAATAGCATCTTCAACAAGACAACATATCAGCAATGAATTATGACCTACCGTAACTGTTAAAATCTTTGTATCTTCACCTTTCTTTGTGGTGCAGCTGAAGAAATTTTCTGTGTTTGTGAAGTTCAGCACAACAGGAGTACCTGGACTGTCCACTGTGTTACTCCTATAAGAGTAGATGGTGATTGGTGCTGAAAAAGCCAAAGCATTGCAAAATAAATGTCAAAATATATGTATGAAGCAAGTGAAAATGAAGAATATTGCTGCAATACACAATTACATGGCCAAGTATACTCTAACAATGACTAGTACATTGCAATTTACACAAAATCCAAATAATCTGCATGATTTAACAAATACAAACAGTGTCATGGAAAGAGGAATTTCAAACACCATATATTCACATATTATTTGGTACCAACCTGACATGGTGCTATCCAAACATATCTGATGATTATATGGAGTGACATACTTTTCCGTAAAGAAACTCTTAATATACAAATTATCTCTTTGTCTAAGCAGACACAATTTCCTCGGAGAACCTGAGAAAAAGGAAGCAGAATAGTTACAAAATTCTCAAAAGTCACATTTGGTTTTGCATTGGATTCCTTAAAGGGATAGTTCACCCAAAACGTTCGGAACACAAATTAAGATATTTTAAATTAAATCTGAGCGCTTTTCTGTCCCTCTATTGACAGTAGACACAACTTCAACTTTGTAGCTTTAAAAAGTTAATGAAAAGATTGTAAAACTATATATGAATTGAGTGGTTTAGTCCAAATTTGTTATCCTGAATAGATTTGATATGGGCTTTGATTCAAACATTCATCAGATACTGTATGGTAAACAGAAGCTCAAGCATGCTTGCTTGTTGTGAGACAACCAATGAGGTTCATTCTTGTGTTATGCAGCACATTTGAGCATCAGTAAGAACCAATGTGGTTTGTTTATATTCTCTGATCAATGTTCATATGTGAATAAAAAGCCTAAATTCAATCTGTTCATCATATAAAGCAATCATTTCTTTTCAGAAAATAAGAACCACTTGATTCAAATGGATTGATTTTACAGTACATTCTCTTTATGAACTTTTTAAAGTCTTACGAGTTTAGAACGACATGAGGGTGAGTAACTAATGACAATTTTTTGGGGGGTGGGGGTGGGGTGGGTGGGTGAACCATCCCTTTAAAACCTGCATGGGCATTATTTTAGTACCTATTTGTTTTTTTAGGGCTGTGCGATTAATTAATCGCGATTAATCGCATCGAAAATAAAAGTTTGTGTTTACATAATATATGTGTTTGTACTATGTATAATTATTGTGTATAGTTTAACACACACACACATATATATAATATGTATAATATAATATTCATATATAAATATTCATATATATAATATTCATATATAAAATATGTAGACTGTAAAAAAATATTTTCATGATATGTAATCACAACATTTTTTCTTTTGTAAAATCAACTTAAATTAAAGCTGCAAGCAGCGATGGGCGGGCCCTCGCACCTGTAGCGGGTCGGGGTGTGAGGCGCCGCGTTGCATATTCTGCAGCTCGGCCAGTGCGGCTGTGCATTTGCTATGCTTCTTCGTTAAAGGTCACTTCCTGTTGCCAGCAGGTGGCGCTATGACTGTGGGTGAATGTCGGCATGTAGATTTGTTCAGGACGGGACTCTTGTCAAATGTGTTAAATTTCGTGCAGATCTGGGCATTTACAGCCAAGTTACTACAACTTCCTGTTTCATGGCGAATCATCGACACCACGGACACGCCCATCCACGAAAATGCGCAGATAGCACAACTTTACATAGTCAATGCCTTTAGAAGGTAAAGCAGAAATTTGAAGTTGATCCGACCAAATCCCTATGAGGAGTTCGTTAAAGTACGGAGTGTGTAAATCGTCCCAAATCGGTCACCAAATTCAAAATGGCGGACTTCCTGTCGAGTTTAGGGTATGGGTTCTTGAGGCTTTTTTGTGCGTCGTGAAATGATACACATCCCCACCAAATTTCGTGCATGTAGGTTGAACGTGGACGAGGGGCTAATTTTTTCCTATTTTCTAGGTGGCGCTAGCGAGCCATTTTGCCCCGCCCATCCGCGAAACCCACAAAATATGAAATTTTTCACCAGTCCTGACATGCATGCCAAATTTGGTGACTTTTTGAGCATGTTGCGGCCCCGAAAATGGCGCTTACTTTGCAGAAAAAAGATAAAAGAAAAAAGAAAAATTAAAGCTGCAAGCAGCGATGGGCGGGCCCTCGCACCTGTAGCGCGTCGGGGTGTGAGGCGGCCGCGTTGCATATTTTGCAGCTCAGCCGGTGCGGCTGTGAATTTGCTACGCTGCTTCATTAAAGGTCACTTCCTATTGCCAGCAGGTGGCGCTATGACTGTGGGTGATAACCCTAACAGTTTCAATAGGGTCCTCGCACTGTTGGTGCTCGGGCCCTAATAATTTATGTAGTTCAGATAACATAATATTTTGAGTTTCTGAAGATTAAACCAATCTCCTTCATTGTATTAACTCAATTTTTCCATTTCAATGAACTTTTAAGGCAACCAGGTTACTTAATTTTTAAGTTAAACCAACAATATTTTTTACAGTGTATATTTATATATAATATAAATTATATATACAGTATATACATGCAAATATTTCTCAAATATATATACATGCATGTGTTTGTATATATAAAAAATTATTATACACACTACACACACATATATTATGTAAGCACAGACTTTTCTTTTGGATGCGATTAATTGTTGCACAGCCCAAGGGTTATTTATTTATTTTACATCAATTAGAGCATTTAAGAAATTTAAAAGATAAAATATGTGTGTATTGTGCAATTGATAGCACACAATAAAAAAAAATGTACTCATTTCATACCAGAGGTAACGGCAGCGCTCGCAGGCAGGACCACAACTTCATTAAATTTGCAATTGGTCTTTCCACAGTTGTTGCAAGGGTTGTCAGGGTCACAGCCTCGAGCAAGAACCAGACTGAAGCTCGTATCGGCCATGGAGACAATTAGCAAATTTTCATTATCGAAAGTGTCGTCCTCAATGTCTTCCCCCTCCGGTTGTGGAGGTGATGGTCCCTGGCTCCCATTCGCCTCCAGCACAGACTCTCTTACCATCATCAGGCTGAAACTCAGGTGCGTTGGCTCCTTTTTACTGACACGAAGCTCCTCAGATTCGCACTCTTCTGTTTTTGTTTTGCAAGGATGATGTATGGTCTAAAAGAGTTTATTGAAAATGAAATCAATCTAGCTCAGGGACAGTTTTATTCCTCAAGCAATTACTCAAGAAAACCACACACACAGAAGTCTATGATCAAAATAAATTCCCTGATTAGGCGAAAAATCCCCAGTGAAAAGTTTGGTTTCACTTGTCTCTACCGGTAACATTTAAATGGGTCAACAGAAAAGTGATTAATATGAAAGTGCAATACTTCTGTGTAAATGCAAAAACTCACAAGTAAGGGAGATCCATCAATCAGAAGATCAGCAAATGCCTCTGGAGTCAAATCTTCCACATTTCTATTGTTTATCATCAGGACTTTATCTCCCTTGCTGAAAAGATAGATAGATAGATAAATAGATAGATAGATAGATAGATAGATAGATAGATAGATAGATAGATAGATAGATAGATAGATAGATAGATACTCATGAAAGGATATATTGTATATATATTGTACATCATCAATAATCTTACCTTGTGAACATTCCTTTGTTATAGTTTAAAAAGCCCTTCACTTCATATGAGTGTTTCCCTTCACATTCAGTGTGGAGCAACGTAACACCACCAGAAACAGGATTCCCCTATAAGATGTCACACATACAAAGTTTTCAACTGCTACATTTAAAATGAACACCTAACATACTGAAGATGTTGATCAACTGTTGTATATCAAATCAGCTATAGATGTGCAAACAACAAAACACTACATACCTCTGATGCCATGATGAACTCAGATTGCGATGTGCGAGTCTCGACTGTGAAACACGCCTTTTGAAAATCAGTTGACCTGACGCTGTAGAAAAGGAAGCTAAATTCATATGTCACTAAACCAGTGTGAGGGTTGGGTGTAAAAGGAGAAGTAAAGAGTTGTGCTGTTTATATTTTCCTTAAAGGTATAGTTCACCCAAAACAATTCAATTCTGTCATCATTTACTCCCCCCTCATTTTTGTATGTCATAACCAAACAGTTGATGGGCCCCATTGACTTTCATAGTATTTGTTTTCCATACTGAAGTAAATGGGGTCCACCGTCCATCAACTGTTTGGTTACTCTTCAAAATATCTCATTTTAAAGCTCAGCAGAAGAAAGAAATTCTTACAGGTTTGGAACCGCTTTAAGGTGTGTAAATGATGAGAGAAGGGTTTTTTTGTGAACTATACAAGTAAAATAATACAGAAAATGTGCTTATACTGCCGCACTGTGCTTAGGAAAAGCTGATGGCTCAATGTTTGATTGCCTTTGCCTGACAATATGATACCCATGCTGACGATCTTTAAAGGAGTAGTTCACTTTTTAAAAAACTTTTGCTGATAATTTACTCACCCCCCATGTCATCTAAGATGTCTCTTCAGTCGAAAAAGAAATTAAGGTTTTTGATGAAAACATTCCAGGATTTTTCTGCATATAACAGACTTCAATGGGAACCAAAGGGTTCAAGGTCCAAATGAGAGTTTCAGTGCAGCTTCAAAGGGCTTTAAACGACACCAGACGATGAATAAGCTGCGGACTGCAGCTTTAATTGTTAATAAGGAATAAGAATAAAATTAGGTTGTAATTCTTAGAATTTTTTAACAAACTAAAGACTCAAATTTTACTCTGAGTGGCTTTAATACACACGGCCCCTGATCTTTTAATATATACCCTATAAAGACAGCTTTTCAGTTTGAATCACTGAATAATTATTCACTGTGCAGAGCAAAAAACATATTTTACATCAAACACAGTTATTTAAACTGACTTTACTGACAATAATAGACATTATTGGTACATTGAGGAAATAAGAAAATGAGGTTTTACATGAATAATGGTATACGTTTACTCACCCAGAACACAATCCTGCACTTCCTCACACAAGGTAATATTAACAAAAGAAGAGGAACAAACTGGTGGTGTCAGAAGAGCATCCATCCACACCAAAACAATACATTTACTGTAAAAGATCATACAATTTTGAAATTGTACGATCAGTGAGATGTGCATGCCTCAAGTCACTTTGAACTCTCCTTGTTTGGAACATTTTGAGAATGTTGAAGAATCTTCATGGAGCTCTTTGTTCAAGGACAGTTCATGGTGACCATCGTCCAGGTCGAAAAAGGGCAATAAACTACCATAATAGCTTTGTGTGAGGAACACACTAAAATTCAATTGCTTTTTTCACTGATAATATATCCATCCAGTGAGATGACCTTGCCAGCCAAGGTCACCATGAATGAACTGTCCTTGAATGATAAAGAGCTGCATGAAGATTCTTCAAAATTCTCCTTGTTGTGTTCCACAGATTAAAGAAAGTCTTTGGGTTTGGAGCAACATGGGGTGAATTTTGGGTGAACCATTCCTTTATAGTAAAAATTTAGGGCCAATCCCAATTCTACCCCTTACCCCTTCACTTTCCCCTTCCCCTCCGTTTTGCGCGTCCACGTGAAGGGGTAGGGCTGTCCCAATTCTCTTTTGGTTGGAGGGGGAGGGCTAGGGTGAAGGGCCAGATAGCCCTTCAAACGAAGATTTTTCGGGAGCACACTTCAAACGAAGGGGTATGAGAAGTGTCACTGCTAACCCAGGCTGGCTGCCCAAGCGACAAAGGAGACCCATAAATTTAAGTATTTGTGGCTTTAATAAGTATTATAACGACAAATAATGATTTGCTTTATGTTACATTCAATATTGTGTTCATATTTACGGTCAGTTTCTTCACAGAAACGTTTGTAAAAAAAAAAAAAAAAAAATCGCTAAAATTACTGTAGTTTGCTAACGATAGTCCCGCAACATATTTTCGTCGTCTCCGTTTTTTCCTGCGAACTTCACAAGATGCAAGAAAATAGCTGTAACCCACGCGACTGAGATAACTGCAGCTGTCGACAAGATCTTGGAAGTTGTGATAAACATCGGCGCATCTCCTGTGACGTAGGCGCTAGCGACGACTTATAATGACGTTTAACGGAGGCGTAGTGGTGTCCCATTTCTTAGGGGAATATTTTCACCCCTACGCATTGCCACTCTGTTTCAAGGGTCAAGGGGAAGGCGAAGGGGTAGGGCTAGGGGAAAGGGAAGGGGTAAGGGGTAGAATTGGGATTGGCCCTTTGTTTCACAAAAACAGCTTTATAGTAAGGTCAGTACATAGGACATTCACACACACCCTACGCGCACACACACACACACACACACACACACACACACAAACATATGGCAAAAACATTAGCAATGGGCGTACATGGCCCTCTGATACATCAGAAGGAACCTTTTGACATGTCAAAACAACCAAACACTCACACAAACATACTTAACCAGTATTTCACCAAAATAGAGGATTTCTCTCTGAATTGATCATGTAACCCCTACAACAGACAGCATCAATACAAAACGAGTATGTCCATATTTTCGGGTGAAAAGTCTTGCAGAAATTCTGAGCCATCATGGCATTTCAAGGATAAAACAAAACTGTGTTGACTTTGTGTATTTGAACTAAGTAACTTATAGACAACACTTCTAGGGCATACACCAACTTTCTAATTTGTATGCTTATCTATTGACAATTGCAGTCTTGTATTTGAAACCAAAGCATGTTTTGTAGGTTGCTTTGAATAAGAATATCCAAGACAAGACCCCCCGCCCACACACACACAAACACCTTTTTTTACAACCATTTTCTATTTGTCCCTTCACAAACCTAAATGCATTCTGAGAAACCAACCACTATCACACTCCCATTTAAAGAGGTAAAACCGACAACAAGTTACAAAAAAATACAAAATGTGCAGAAATAATAATAAAAAAGTATTTGATGGTCCACTTTAGACACTCTACTAACTAACTTGTCAACTAACTCTCATTAAATCATTAATAGACTGCAGAAGACTGGTTTACAACAATAAGTTGACATATATAGTTGCAAAGTTTCTTTGAATGTCTATTGAGGACTATCAAAATAGAAATAAAGTGTTAGCAGATTAAGCAGACAGTCTACTAATACTCTATTAAAAGTTAGTTGACATGCAGGGGCAACATTAATTGCCTTAAGTGGACCAAAAAAAAAAAAAAAAAACAGACAGGAAATAAAAGGGCTGTTTGTGGCCAAGGTCACCTAGAATAACATCAGCTCTATTTCCTGATGTTCTCATTAAAGGGATCTATCACTCACAAAAATAGTTCCAGTAATTATGTAATGCACCAAAATGAAATGACTGCATGAAACTGATAAAGTGAAAAACAAACCATAAAGCTTCTAGGTTATTCTGAGCTCTGTCCTCTACTCTCAGTTTTAATCATCATGGTTTTGGAGCGAGCAGGAAGGTGGTATTTGCCATGTAGCCGTGGGTTGTTTCAGCTCAAACAAAAAAATATATAAATATATATATGTAGAACAGATATTTTGAACAATTCCATCAGTGAGGGTGCGGAGATAATGTAAAGAAAATGTATTACGGTGCAACAAACACCATATAATTTTTTGAGATCTGAACACATTTCACATTATATCAACACACAAAATCCATTAACTAAGGTCTAATTAACATGTTTAACAAAACAAGAAAGATGTTTTGTGCCATAATGAAGAAACAAGCTTGAGGTCAGCTACTATTGTCATTCAATAAATTTAGGCAGTTCATGATCAAGAGTTCATAAAACATGTGTAAGTTCTGTGACAGATGAGATGCACAGCAGAAGATTTGGTTAATCAGAGGACAGTCGCAGACATAAGCAAACAAATGCAGTTAGGACCAGAACTGGGTGTAGATACGCTCTTTAGACATAGAGAAAATCTAGCATATCCATTTTGACTGTATATTAGTGGATGGTGAACAAAAGAAACAAGTTTAAAAAGCTGAACTAAAAAAAAGAGGTAGGAAGAAGTGGTTAACAGAAATAATTTTAACCAGAATGGAGAAATAGACAGAAGATAACACAACAACCCCTTGATGCGTGTAACTCATTAAATAAAGTATTACTTACTGTGATTTAATTAATTTTCCCTTGAAAAAATAAAGTAAGGAACTGTAATTTAAAGGTGCAAAACGCAAGTCTCTGAGTTTTTGCAAAACTACGCCCCCTCTGGCGACAAGCGAAACTGCAACCAGAGGTGTGCGCGCTCATGGATTACACACACATGCACGTTTGCATGAGCTGTTCAAAACCAAAGGAGCATCAGCCGCACACACGTTTTGTTACAGTCATAATGAGATAATAAAGTTATAAATCTGCAAGTTATTTAAAATAGATGAAAGGAAAGGCATTTGAGTGAATTTCGGGGGAATGTGACGTATTTCACATTGAGTAAATGTGACGGGGAAACGGAGGTGGTAGAAAACTTTGGTTTTTGTTTCCATCTATCTCCATGTTGAACTGTTTTATGTGCTTACTGCATCCACTTATGATTGTATCATTATGGAAACAAGTTCATGAACAATATAAGTTATTACTTTGATCTGTTTGAGTGGAAACATCAGTGTAGGGTGCAAAATGTTTATTTGAATTGGTTGTGGAGTTATTTCCCAGAGATAATTGCCAGAGATGGCACAGTTTTAAAGCTTCATAAAAGAGCTTAGGAATAAATACATTCATTATAATAATTCATTACATTTATATAGCACCTTTCTGGACACTTTTTTTTATTAAAGTGGCATTCAACAAAAGATAATAAAAGACAGTTTAAAGTATTGCAATTTACAGAGGAAAAGAACAACGAAATTAACAAGTTGAAGTTTGCTGTGCTTTATAGGCCTATACACGAAGTAAATGCCATCAATCATTTAGACTAATTAATGAATGCACAAAACGCAAACTAATAAAAACATTATGAACTATGAAATGATACACAATTGTATTTTAAGTTTGAGCTGAAACAATATTTAACTTTTTTTAAATAATCCATTAAACCTGATGAGAAACGAGGAGCGTGAACTAGAATGAGCAGTTCCAGCGCATGCCCTATTATATTCCGTAAAATAATGATGAGTGTTTTTTTTGTTTCTCATTTACACTAACCTAGTTGTATCAAATGTAATTTTTCTACTTTTGTCCATACAATTTAGTTTAATTAAAGCAACGCATTCATGCTTGTGTTTGGTTTTAAATGATTTGGCTTATTTAAATGAACAAGAATTTAAAGGGATACTCCACTTTTTTTTTTAGAAATAGGCTCTTTTTACAACTCCCCCAGAGTTAAACAGTTGGGTTTTACCGTTTTCCAATCCATTCAGCCGATTTTCTGATATTTAGAAGAATATCAGCTACCAGACAGTTTCTGGTCTCATTGACTTCCATAGTATATTTTTTTCCTACTATGGAAGTCAATGAGACCAGAAACTGTCTGGTTACTGATATTCTTACAAATATCAGAAAATCAGCTGAATGGATTCGAAAATGGTAAAACCCAACTGTTTAACTCTGGGGGAGTGGTAAAATGAGCCTATTTCCAAAAAAAGTGGAGTATCCCTTTAAGAACATAATCACACCATGATATGGGCTATTCAGTACAAGTTTAAGTTCGCGCTGAAACTATATTTACCTTTAACGCGTTCTGGAAACTCATGAATATTAATGTAGGCTCCGCCCACTTCCTCTACAGACGTACAACTGACTTTTGGCAGAGCGCGCGAAACTTGTCACTTGAAAGCAAAAAACAGAGCTTGAAATTCGTCACACTCGCAGCAGATTCAAAAAGCAGTATTTATGTACTTGTGTTTGTGCAACATTTGCGAGAAAATATTCCACAAGTGTGCAACTCTCATTGGATGAATTCACATACTGATTTGCAGATAAGCAAAATTTCTCTGTGACTTCACATTTTTTGATACAGACCTGTGTGTCAATACGTTTTGCACCATATTCACTGCAGCAACTCTAGCAAAAATGTGAGCATACTAGTTTCTTCATTTGTGATTTGTAGAATAGGATTTGTGCATCTGCAATGAAGAATTTGTGAAGGTGTAACTGTTGTGTTGTGTTTAAGGAAGATAGAAAAAAAAGTCTACAAGTTTGCAACTCTTAAAACATTTCACAGGCACAGGCATTCAGTAGTTTTGCACCAAATATAACTTCATATGAGAGAAGCAAGGCCAGAGACATTTGGGGCGCTGCAGCATATTAAATGTATTATAAATAGTTTTTCCACGTGAGATATTCAATGTGTTGCGGGAGAGTGTGACAAAAGACCAAAATGAGTGACTGTTATGCTCATTGCCCTGGATCTAGAAGGAGATACAGTCTATAAAATTTGGCCCAGAAGAAGAAGAATAATACATTTAAGTATAGCTAAATATCAGCAAGTTGTCCAAGCCAACTTCATGACAGGTCTGTTAGTAAATAGGACATTTTGATTCTGTGGTTTTCCTGCCAACAAGTCACCTGACAGTTTTACTCCATTCCACCACAACCACACACATACACACACACAAGTGGAAAAAAAATAGAATCAAACTGGACCTCAAAACCGTTAGACAGACTAAAGGTAATACATTGGAAGAGCTAACAGACACATTTTTTGTGTCTTTTTTAAGTTGACACACAAACACACGAACATCAATCATGTTTAGCACATCAAAATAGAGGTCCATCTCTGAATTGAGGATCATCTAGTCCATACATGATACAAAACAAACAAATAGGTATATATAGATAAATTTTTTTCAAAAACAAATGCCATTGCTTGTACAGAGATTGTACAAGCAACAGCATTTACATTTTCAATCCCTCCCCAACCAACCCAAAACAACCTGCCTTAGTTTTATTATAACCTGTTACAATTTTTTACACTCACTTTGCTACTATTTTCAGAACCTTGATGTCATTTTTCAAAACCCTAGACATAAAACTCGAAACGGTTATCACGTGTAACACAGGCTGTCTAATGTTCAAAACATTGCATTTGCATTCACATCTTTAAGGAAATATTGCACTTGCACAATCATTGGTTCAAAAAAACAAATTTACTGTGAAACATTAACATTATTATAGATCACCCACACACAAGCAACCGATAGTTTCACTGTGTCATTGCTCGTACAATCATTAAATATTGTAGAACAAAATAGGTGATACAGGTTTCATTATGGTTCTAAACTTACAGTAAATAAATCTCTGTAAAAGTACTGGAGAGAGAATACAGATATAGTGTAATCATTGAACAAAGTGTGTGATATATTGATGCAAAACACTACAGTACAATCACAACATAGGTTTATTGGAATCAAAATAAAAATATAAAATATTAGGCTACATCCATGGATAATGTAGTCTTATTGGCTTATGCGCCACGCTAATTGGTGACAATGAATCTCGTTATCTTGAAACTTATTTAATGCAATATATAAAGTTGCTTGTTTAGATAACAGTGAGGAGTGTGAGCTAAAATTAAGCCCCTCTGCTCTAGGACAGAGCTATTCTGAGACCTATTCCCAGCCAATCAGGAGCCAAAGTATCTGGAGTGGATAGCGTACCCCATGCCACACTATATCCGAACCGAAAACTATGTCAACCGACTGCTCTTGATCTTCATAAAACAGACCTCATCAGCAAGTACAAGATTTTTCTACTTTCTGTCTACTAGTAACAATAAGATGATGCAACTAGAGGTGACATTTGATTCTGCTTGCTTTTAGTGGTTCTTCTCTCTCTCTCTCTCTTTAGTTATGTTGGATGTTTTAATAATTGGAGGTGGTCCTCATGCTCTAACCCTGGCTACACTGCTCTCAAACCCTAACCAACCTCTCTGCCAATCGAGTACTGACATTCTTCAGGGAATTCAGCTGAGCAAAACTAAAGCTAAAAGTGTACGCCACAAAAATAAAAAGAGACAACCCACCAGTAAGTTCAAGCATTTTGTGGTGAGGACAACAATTTGGTTTTGGTTTATTCTTCCATCAATCTATCCCCATTCTGTCATCAGACAGCTTTAGATCTTCATTCCAACAGGAGCAGTGTTTGACACAGAGAATGAAGCCAAACGTCTGCCATGTCCTTCGCTCCACTTCAAAGTGGTGGACTCTTATGGAAAATGGACATCACTGTGGGAAAGCCAGTTTACTGCCCTGAACATCCCTCACCTCCGATCGCACACGCTGGTGCACACCGATCCGTTTAATAAGGTAATAAATGTGTTGACATTTGCACAATCATTTGGATGATATGTGCTTTTGAAATACTGTACTGTTTGAAAAAATACAAGCATGATTTTTCAAATTTAAAAAGTAAAAAAAAAAAGCCTGATTTGCCACTGCGTTCATGCGCTTAATATACATGTCTGTGATTGGCTACAATGCTCAACGCGTAAACAACAAAAGTAGTTTTGAATCGTTTTGGAATAATGTATCTTCCAGTGCCGACTCGACTGGACTCTGACATTTTTCCGAGTCTAAAATGTCTGAGTCTGTGTCAAGTCCGAGTACAAATTCATCCGAGTGCGTAACAAGTCCGAGTTCATTCAAAATTCGAGTTCGAGTACCCCAGCTAATAGTTGTTAAACTATTAAAATATTAACTTAAAAACTTGGAGGGTCCTTCAAGTATTTTAGGTCACAGAGTTTTGGTTGATAAAAATAAGTTTTATAAGTTAAATTGCTCAGATTTTTGTACAAATAATAATGCAAACCAATAAATAATGATTACAGTGATGTTGCCCATCAAAGGACTAATAATTCCTTCATCTGTGTGCAATCCCAGAATGCCTTGCAGGACTTTGTGGTGGAGCAAAATCGAGAGGAGGAGCTGTACCGTCTACCTGAGCGACTTTACATTCAGGACGAGAATGCATTTTTTAACGACAGTCGCCTGGGAAAGAAGAACAAAAAGCTTCTTAGCGCAACAAACGGACTGCAGAAACATCTGTATTTCAGTCTTCCAGGAACACAGCTCAGTATAGACTTCTTCCAGGAGCAGGTCTGAACGTCATACAGCATGTGAAATCAAATGGAATGCCTGACTAACAACAATTAATAAACTAATTGTAAAACATTTGGGTTTACCAGCTCTTCTGGTATTAGGAAACACTGTGTTGCATGAAGCTTAGCAACCAAAATCAGATTTCTCATTTGAAATGCAACATGCAATGTGTGTTAATACTAAACTAAATATAAATGTTGAATAATAAATTCACTATGAAAGAACTTAATTATGGATTACATTGAAAAGGACTTTCACCCAGGTACGCAAATATGATATGGACAGTGTCTTAATCAGAGCTACAGTGGACAGAATCATCCCAGTGTTAACTAAGGACGAGAGCAAGGTGAAGTTTTTCAAGGCGACGCTACACACTGGGGAAACCGTAGAGGCGAAAACTGTTATTATGGCGACGGGGCCTTCGAGGGCGCAGATGGCAAATATACCATGCTGGGTGCGGGCAATCCAAGAGAATTACCCAGAAGAAAGTCTTCAACACACAGTGCAGCTCATGCATTACTTCTGTACACATGAAGAGATGGGTGAACCCTCCTCAGGTGGGTTTCTAAACGTGATCAAAACCTGATCATCCAGATATCCAAGCAAACAAATAACCGAACCAGCTTATTAGGAAATAATTCAGAACAGGAAATGAATACACCCTTGTTTTCAGGTTCTCCTGCTGTGTGTCAGATGGGCCAGAGAGTGATGGTGGTAGGTGGAGGTCTAACCAGCGCCCACATTATCTCAATTGCGCTGAAGCAGCGTGCATGTCATGTGACCTGGGTCTTACGTAAACACTTACAAGTAAGTTACACCCAATTTGAGTCTAAACAAACAGTATAGTGTCCCAATCACTACACAGACTGCATGTTGAGCACTTGCCTCGCTAACAACTTTTCCAGCAGCAACCTATAGTTTTATAGCATAAACAAACAAAAAAACCTAAAACCAAACTTATTGGTAAAACAAACGCTTGAACACTTGTCTGTGTGATGAGAATGACCTAAAAGGACTTAAAAAGACACCTTGGGAAACTAATCAACAGGAAAAACTACAAAACTACAAACATGGCGGCAAGAATGAACACAGAAACAAAGGGAACTGAGAATACACTTCAAAATAAAGGTCCTACAAGACACAGAATTGGAATCAAGATAGGCAGAAAGTACCTCAAAAAGTGTTCTGATTAGCTAAGCAAAGAATTTGACCGTGGCATGGTCACAAATTCATGTTTTTTGTAGTTGACACAGAAACCATAACGGTATTGTTTTCAAAAACTTAAAACCAGTTTTCAAAAGTTTGCATTTCAGGCCCCCAAAATGGCAATGTCAAGTAAATGACAATGCCAGAACACATTAAAGGTATTCTGTTTTTTTTTTTTTTTTTGGTTACTGACGCCTCTTCTCAGATGACTTGAGATCACAGCTATAGCAAACCCCAATGATCTAATCAATTCCCATTGAACAGAATCAAGTCCTGCTCTACATTGTTTCTTGAAGAAGCCACTTCACTTGGATATGGCTCAATTTGATGAGAAAAATCTGCAACTTCTGTTTCATGCCAACTTTAAAGTTTACAGAGGCTAGGGTTATCAGAGATCGTCGATGTGATTTCACAGTAGTTATTCAATGATATTTACCAAATTTGACTCTCTCTCAGCTTAAGCAGTTTGACGTTGGGGATATAGAGAGTCTGATTGGACGCTATTCCCACGTTGAGCATGGGATCAAGATGGATGGCCTAGCCTATCTAAGGCAGTTCTATAATGAAAGAAGTCTTCACAAGAGGCTAGCAATGATAAAACTAGCCAGAAAAGGAGGAGCAGTGACCCCTGAGGCCTATTCACAACTTCAGCCTTTCATTCAGAGCGGCCAGCTCCAGATCAGAGCTCACTGCCAGGTGTGTTTTTATTTTGTAAGGCTGCTATGCTTATGTGGGATGCTGTGTCAAGAGTCTTTGACAGTTGAGCACAAAGTTCATAGACATTTCCAATTTCTAGGAGAGTCTATAGCAGTACCAAAGTGGATTTCTTAACTAAATGATATCTATATTTTAATAATTAATACAGTATGTCTTTATACCAAGGTGACTGAAGCTAAATGGTGTTATGAATCCCAGCATTGGAGGGTCTCCCTGTGCAGCGGTGAACAGTGGATTGGGGAAAAGATTTGGCTGGCAACAGGCTGCAAACTGGATGTCACCCAGGACCCTTTACTCTCTGACGTCATGTCAAAATTCCCCATTCAAGTGAGCACATGGACATTTATACTTATTACAAAAATATTATCTTTAAACCACGGGGCTTATATAATGGTCAGTAATTATTTGATCTCAAACTATTAAAATAATACTCGTCAAAAATTTAAAATATATATTTTTATATATAAAAAAAAACAGTACAAACAGTGATATTGTGAAATATTAGTGAAATTCAGAATAACTGTTTTCTATTTTACTATATTTTCAAATGTAATCTATTCTTGTGAAGCAAAGCTGTATTTTATGATGAATAGAAAATTCAATGTTTTTATTTGGAATATAAATCGTTTTGTCACTTTTGATCATTTCAATGCATCCTTATTGAATAAAAGGATTAATTTGATTTTTACCCCAAACTTTTGAAGGGTAGATCATCACGGTTTCCACAAAAAATATATAATATAAAAATTAAGTTTGGAAATGATTTCAATTAACTTATGTATATATATATATATATATATATATATATATATATATATATATATATATAGTTAAGCAAAATCATTACCAAAGTTAATAAGCTAATGTACATGTAGGCTATATTTAATAAATTTAAGTGAATTAATAATAATTTAAATATTTATTTTATTGGTTTTGCAATGTAAGCATCATAACAAAAATATGTAAATACACGACCAGGGTCTTTAATGTTATTTCTCTCATACTGTCTCAAAACTGAGTTTTTTTATTTAGTCATCTGCCCAACTAAGATCCAAAAGTACTTAAGTATTTCCTGCTTGACAGGTCCTGGAGGGTTGGCCATGTATAACAGAATCACTGCAATGGACCGCAGGATGCCCCCTGTACCTGATGGGACAATATGCAGCACTCCAGGTTCTGTTATGCTCCTATTATGTAATATAATGAGTCATATCAGGTCAAAACACCTAAAAGTGAGTCATCAATGAGAAATTTTCTAGATAACACCTGCTCGGCACCTAAGCATTATCATATTTTAGGCTGTAAATATAGCATCAACACAAGCATTTACAGTAAATAGGCTAAATATATGACATTCCACAGGTTGGGCCTCATGCTGTAAACCTGGCAGGAGGTCAAGCTGCGAGTATACGCATTTTCAAAGACATTATAGCTCAGCACAGTGGATTGGATGAGAGTGCATCAGCAAGGATGGAGAAGACCCGCACTGAAGAGTACATATCACACATGCACGGCCTCATGTGGCTGTAAAATCCACCTGCGAAGAGGGAGGGTGTGGTCTCAGGTGTTACACTTACCATAACAGAAGAGAACGAATCACTTAATGCTGAGAGTGACAGCTTTGAATGTCTTTAAGATGCTGCACTGTTTAGTAGCCAACAGAAGTTGATGAATAAATAAATTACATTTTTATTAATCTAGTCACATGTAAATGCACAGTCCTAGTTGTGGTTCGAATATTGCATAGTCATTGTGACTGCACTGCGCCTTTAAATAATCCCAAATCTGGCATTGTGATCTGTGGGAAGCCTTGGCAAACCCAAAGCGTCAACACAAAACAAACACCTGTCATAGGTGAATACAGATATTCTGACAGCGAATGAAATTGCAAAGTACAGCTTTGTTTTAAAAATAAATGTGCATCTTAATAAGATTTTGACTTCCGGTGTAGCCTATTTGAGCGCTCACAAACAGAGCTGAAGCAAAATATTGTGACCACGTAGTAGATACCGAGGTGTTTATGATGATGATGAGAAGAGTTTCTAAGGTGGTTTTGAGTGTCGAACAGTCTGAAGGCGTCGGAGCTCGAGTTCGCAGAAGCATTGGACGGAAAGAGGTGCTGGTTTGCTCACTTTCGTATTACGGAGTTGGGTTTGCTTCGAAATGCACGATACATAAACTGTATTATGATTGATTTCAGTTGCAGAATCTCGACCCTTTTTTGATGCTGGATGAATTCTGTATCGCCAAACCAGCGGGTTTTCCTGATCATCCTCATCGTGGATTTGAGACGGTAAACTTTATTGAATCAAAATCGTGTATTTTAAAACTATGTATCATTGAATTGCTGTCATGGAAAGGGCGACACTTGTCAAATCCACGAATTCGTGCAGTCATATTGAATAAACGAAATAAAAAATATATTATCAGTGGATTAATATTACAGTTGTTGCATCTGAACAAGACAACACCAAACCTTCCGCCAGAGGGCGCATGACGGCTCAAAAATCTAAATCCTGTGGACTTTTATTTTGATTTACGAAGTGCGTTGGTACCTGGTACACTTAAATGTGTAACCGTTTAATTCTACAATAAATAATGCAATTCTAGAAAACAACCGGAAATGTGTTTACTGTGGGGTATCTAAATAGGATTCATGTCCTAGTAATGACAAACGGTTATGATTAGTTCACTCAGAGAATCGCTGAAAAAAGTAACAGGTACAACGTGACAACACCGTTCTGCCTGTTTATGAATTATAGTCCTGCAAGCCGTAAGAATGAGTATTACATTTGTATTATAAAAAATGAGACTGAGAATTCGTTACAATTTTTTTTCAAATTCACTGTGTAATGAGTTAAAATAGAAGAATGTGGGCTCATCAAAAGGACAATTATGACACCTCTTGACCACTAGAGAGCTCAAATTCTTAACATTTTATCACAGCACAGTTGCTCAAACTGAACTGTCTTTTAGTTCATGTATGTTAGCAATGATGTCATATATGTTTATGTACTCCCAAAACATAGACACAATTAACTAAACTAAAATAACTGAAGATATGCGCATTTAAAATGTAACAGACCAACAACTGATGACTCGTCCTGCACTATATAGACTTTTGCCCAATCAGATGCTCTCTAGAATGAGAATTCTTTTTAAGTCCCTTGAAATGCAATGTCCAAACATAAAAAAAAGAATATGAAAGGCAAGCTGGCGCGAATATATAGATCATCCAATAAACCCCTCCCATTGTTTTTGGCAGTTTGAGTACTGAAGTTCTGCTCACTCAATGTGAGAGGATGTATGGTCATTAAAAACGCTTCCTTCAAAATGACAGTGTTTTGGCCAGATCTAGTCCTGAGAGTATTATTTGAAACTTGAGTAAAGAAAAGCTGACCAACTCACTTATTTGTCACTCATTTGTCTCCTTGATTATTTATTTACAACATCTGATGTACTCATTTGTTTACTCACATGTCTAGCATAAACCGTTTCTATGGAAAGCGGTCAATGCGGCTGTGGAAATCATTTAGACTTGTTTATGAGTGTGATGTCATCAATTGCCATCTGCATGGATATACTCATCATTTCTTATAGAGGATGAGTCACTCTGTGTCACCGTCCTTCACGAAATGGATTTGTCTTCTAACATTTGTAAGACTTGCTGGAAATGACTCATTAAGAGAGCACTCTAAAGCCAAAATACAAAAACATTATTCTTTCTTAAGAGGTCATTTTGTTTTGCAGGGATATATAATTGACTTTAGTTATAGGATATACACAAATTAAAACAAGGCTGTGTGAAGCACAAATGTCCAGGCTGTTCTTCGGGTTATCTGTGTTGCTTGAGACATGCAGGTGTGTTTGTTCGCGAACTGTCACGTGACCATCAGATCGCAGCTGTGCTTAGAGATCACAGGCTGCCTGTGGCCACAGGTCAAGCAAGCCTCTGAGGGGTCAGATGTTGACCTCTTACCCTGCATCCCGTATCCTGTTGAGAGCTACATTGTCTGTGTGGGAGATGACATGCAATCCCTCCAGGCTGCATGTCAGACCACCTCAGCTGACCACGGAGATTCAATTTTGCTTTTTTTCAGTGGACAAATGGGAAACGGCTGCAGGCAGATTTTGTTTCAAAACGTGCATGTAATATATGCAAATTTGTGATAATAACTCAAGCATCAAGCCTCTAGCTCTGTCTTGGCTTGGAAGAATTATGTTTTTAATGGTGCGTGAAAGACCTATACTGGCCATCCATAAAAAAACATGTATATTTGTATTTGTGCTAGAATTATTAACTGTAAAGATTTTGATCAAATATTCATCGTCAACTTCACTCACTAACAATTTTAATTTTCCATCTCACTGTGTGGGATATATCTGCTTTTTGCATTTAACTTTAGTCCACCAGGGCTTTACCAAAATCCCTTGAACATAAATTTTTTTTGTGTCTACTCTGCAAACACACCCTTGAAATATGTTTCACCTTTCACCTGTACGATTTTTGACATGTTTATTTTTCTCTAAATGAACATCAAGTGGATGACTTTTCCATACTTTCTGTCTTTTGCGAAAAATTTCCCCCTAGAAACTGTTTGATTTTCAGAAAACTAGAATCTTACACCTCATCGCACTATTTAAAATACTTCAGTGTGAGAGTTTTGTCTTCATTTGTGTTAAATGTGTTTCACAGGTAACATACTTGTTGAGTGGAGTAACAGCCCATGAAGACTTCTGTGGTCACAGTGGCAGGTTGGAGCCTGGGGACCTTCAGGTAGAACAACGAGACCTTACCATCTCTCGAAATGATGAAACACTCATTACTTAAAGGACTAGTTCACTTTTAATAAAGCTTTTGCTGATAATTTACTCACCCATGTTATCCAAGATGTCCAATGCAGTGGCGTAGTAGCAGAAATTGTATTTTGGGTGGGCCAGTGAAAATGTGAGTGGGCCTATAGGTTTTCATAGAAAAAAAAAATACTTCAATAATAATTAACTTCAGAGAGTAGAAAAATTAATAGACAAACAAACTGCAAAAACAGTAACACTTTCATATTCGGCAAATCATCATGTTCAACCAATAGAGCTCAATAAAGGCTGGACAAACCAGTGTAGACAATAACTTATCTATTTTATTCAGGCTATAGCAGTGCAAAGACAGTTCACCCGAAAATAAAGCAAGCTAAAATAATAATATCGCTGTTAGATTCGGCGGGTAAACCCGCGTCCGGCAGACCGGGAGAGAGGGAGAGAGAAGCGGCCGCCTCCAGCACCTGACTAGTCTTCTTGTGGGTTAATGAGTCTGAAGAACTGGCTGGGTGGACTCGATAGATGAAGGCAGTGGCGTGTCTTCTTCCTCAACTCTCGCTTTTTCCAAATAGCACATTAAAGAAAGTTGTTTAGCCATTATTATGGCGCCGCCGAGAGTTTTCCCGTGTATATGTCTATGGAGTTTTCCTATCGGAACCCCCAGAAACCATAGCAACCAATAACGTTCCGGAGAGGGAGGCTTACTACAACTTGCTTCGGCAGTTGCATTTTATTCGGCAAAACGAATTAAACATACACAGCAGTCAAAAATAAATCAGTATATATTAATATATTTTCTTAATACATTTGAATTATAAAAATAAACTAAAAATGTATTTTTATCAAACTTGCCTGGGCGGGCCAGTGAGTAGTGTGGGTGGGCCAGTGCCGCCCTGGCCCAATACTGGCCACGCCCCTTGTCCAATGTCATTCGTTCTTCAGTCGAAAAGAAATTAATGTTTTTGATGAAAACTTTCCAGCATTTTTCTCCATATAATGCACTTTCCTGGGCACCAAACGGTTCAATGTCCAAAAGACAGTTTCAGTGCAAATTGCAAACTGTTTTAGGGCTTTAAACGATTCCAGACGATGAGGGTCTTATCAAGTGAAACGATCAGTCATTTTTAAAAACAAAACAAAACAAAGTTAAGTTTTATAAGCTATATATTACTTAAAAAGAAAAAAAAGTGAACCAAAAGTATGTAGCTACACTATACTTTCATAGATGGAATGTCTTTCATAGATGGAATGAAAGCCACCATCTTTATTTTTTATATGCATGCTGTAAAAATTCAAGTTACAATGAAAGCTATAACAAAATGTATTTACATTTAATAGGATTTTATATTCATGCACACACGCTCACCAAATGGACTAAGCGCTTGTATACCCGCGGGGCACTTCCTATGTTTTCCTGTGTCGTAAAGCTGTCTCACTTTCTCCCGGGTCAGTGAGGGAATTTTAATGGGCCTTTAATAGGTCTAGCACTCACTGCTTTAACTACAACTCGCACCTCACCTTCAGCTACCAGGGCTACTGCCAAACCATCAAACATAAGGGACTCCCTAATAATACCAGGAGAGCAGTGAAGAAAAAACTGCTGAGTGTTTCACGCTATAACTCAAACCACCTATTGTACAATGGCTCCCTGAGAGGAGCTGCTAAACCTCAGAAGGACTGGAAACTTTCACTAAGAGAGAACGAGAAA